CCAGTGCTATGTACGCCATTATGGTCGCATGCATCAGACCTTTATTTTGTTACTATTGTGTATTTTGAATGTTATATGTTTGTGATGTGGCCGTACTCCTTCGAATAAATAAATAAATATAATTAAAAATCTAATTAATAAGTTAGTTAGGTAATGGAAAAAATATTAGACACGTATTTTTTATTTTGTCGTATAATAAAACAATACTTAGATAAAACGAATCAAAGTTTAAGAGTGGGGGCTAAGACGTCATTTCTACGTATAAAATGTACATAGAAGTGACGTCACGGGACATTTTAAATCAATATATCGTGTAAAATATTCGTTTCTGTAAGAAAATTAAAAATACGTGTCTAATGATTTAAAATAATCTACGAGACAGACATTAAAATAGAGGTAAAAATTAAGCATCTACCCTATTTGTTTTTGTTTTGGCAGCTACAACATCATGGTCGTCACTAAAGATACATAAAGACATTTCCAAGTACAACGCATTTGCGAGTGTGTACTCTACGATATCTAGTCGGGTGAAAAGTGTGATACCCTTCGTCAAAGTAGCCTACCCTGACATGATGGGAGGCCAGGGCCTAGACCATCCTGAGCCCTTGAACAAGATGGAGCGAAGTGCGTGCAGGTTGGTACTTATTTTATTTCATTTTGTCTTTTACGTCACCAACATTGATGTTATCGTGATACACATTAGTATAGATGTCGAAATGTTAATGTTTATTTGAACAATACTTTTCAAACTGCCATAACAGGTAGAAGGAAAAAACGTCACATTATTTACTATTTTAAAGTATATGACGTCACAATTGTTGTTGAAGTTGGTTAAGGGAAATGAAAATACTGTTACTAAGAGACTTTGATTATGAATAGTTTAACATTGTAAGCTTTGTTTCCTTATTTTCAGGATGAAACTACTTTCCTGTGTAGATAGAGCAATCAATCCAGAAGCATACATGAATGAGACGGTTTATGATTTAGATCAGCTTTGCAGCGCGTCTGGTAATACTGACTCTGGAGCTCAAAAAAGGTAACAACTAACACATACAGTGTTGCCAATACTGTACAGTGATATTGATATAGTTTAAAGACACTTAAGGTCCTTATATCAGAGTTCAATTTTACTACACGATCAACTTCTAAAGAACTACCTATGTAGATTTTTTTTTTAATTTAACTATATTTCAAGTACTAAAAATGTATGTCAGCCTAATTGATTAATTTACTTTTAGTTTTAGCTCAGAAAGTATAGGCTTGACTAACACGGACGAGCAGGAGATCACCAAGGTCAATAATTTCTCCTCAAGGCTTGCATTTGAATCAAGGTTCGAATCTGGAAATCTGAGGAAAGTTATTCAGGTAATAGTAGTCATCAAAATAATTAGTATTAACTATAGGTACTCTAATTAAAAAGGACAATGTCCAAAAATGTCTTTCAAAAATTGCCAGATACATATGTCAATATATTACCATAGCTTATCGAAATTACATAAAAACCTAAAAAAATTGAGCTTAACTTCGTCTATAATACAAATAATATTCATATCTACAAAATGAGTAACTTCAGGTAGGTCCGAGAGAGTACGAGCTGATTCTCATGCCAGATGTGAACTCGACGAAGCGTCATCAGTGGTTCTACTTCGAGGTCCGCAACATGCAGCAGGGTCGCCCTTACATATTCAATATCGTGAACTGCGAGAAGTCTGACAGCCAGTTTAACTTTGGCATGAAGCCAGTCATGTATTCTGTAAAGGAAGCAGTTCTGGGAAGACCAGGTAGGTACTGTTAGATGAATGATACCTTTTCTACTATATAGTAGTCCTTATGTATATGGTATAGGTTTATTTAAAATTGTGTGAAACAGCCCAGATCAAATAACATAACAAAACATTCTTATGCTCATAATCTTACTTTCATAAACAGTTTTAACATAGATTATTTCAGACTAGCTACTCCCGCGTGACTTTACCCACTCTGCTGGGTTCCTATTAATTGTAGCGTGATGTTTTATAGTCGACAGCTTTCCTCAATAAATTGACTATTCAACACAAGAATAATTTTTCAAATCAGACCAGTAGTTTCTGAGATTAGCGCTTTCAAACAAACAAACGAGCAAACAAACAGACAAACTCTTCAGCTTTATATATAACAGTATAAGATTGATATTAGATAGCGCCTGTTGCCAGGTTGGGTACGGGCTGGTTCCGACATCTGCTACTATCGGAACAGCTACCACTATGCAAACCAGAAGAACCACAACAAATGCTACCTGACCGTCACTTTCAACATCGACTTTCCACATACAAACGATGTTGTCTACATCGCATACCACTTCCCCTTCACATACTCTATGATGATGGTGAGCATGCATATTACTTATTCTTACAAAATGAACTCTTAAACATTACCTTATATCTATGAGACCTTAGTCTCCTTTGGTCCTAATCTTTAACGAGTTAAAATTAATTTTAGGTTGATTTTGAAATATGTCTAAACAGAAAGACTGTCTAACTTTGCTGTATTGCGTTATTCGAATAAGATTTACGACCGACAAGGAAAAAGGACTTAAGAAATTCAATTATGTTTGAGACGTACATGACAAAGACTGTCCATGTCTATGCCCTTTGTTTAAGACTTTGACTGCCAATAAAAAACTGTTGAAGGTAAATCCTCCGCTAACGCCGGTCACCGATGATCCCCATGGCGTTTAACGTGTTAAGGACCATTTAAAATCCATCTATTTAAGGTTCTTAGAGCAAATGCGAATTAGATTTTCAGGCTATAAAACTCGAATAAAGGAAATGAAATGAAATGCTAAAAGCATTTAAAAATAATGACTAGGAATAGCCTTTCCTAGTAAACGATCAAGGACGAATAAAAACAAGCCTTTTCACTGTAAATGTTCGAAGTAATTCAGGAAATGACTTTCATTTCCCTTATATTTTATATACTGGATAACATATCATTAGGACTAAAGGATTCTACGTTAATATAGCTTTGTTTTTTGCTCAGAAATAAATGATTATTCAATAAAGTATCTAATCAATTTTCTACTAATTGCACCTCTTTTTTGCTAAAATTCTAATTTATTTTGCTCTTTTTATATCAATTTTCATTTCCCTGTAAAATACTTTACCAGTATGCGAATTACTTTTATTCACCAGACTCGGATTTGGCAATGGAGCTTGCAGTTGCCATCAGGATCGTACCTGCGCGCAGAGCCTCTCTGCTATTCCCTCAACAACAACGAGATCCCGTTGCTTACGGTTTCCGCCGAAGACACGCCTTCCAATCCTATCGTGGTATGTTGTTTTTCTCCATAAAAATACTTTAGAACTTACGTGTTTGAAATTCTTCTACTAAGCAAGAAACAAGATGATGCACATACTCAGTGCTAGCGACATGCATCTTAATTCGAGTTTCTTGCTAATTTTTATCGATCAATTAACTTTACCTTAGATAGGTACGGAGTACAATCTTGCCACAACATTAGCTGGCTCTTGAAAAACGATTACGAGTACGCAAATTAAGTCTTTAAACTTAAGAGTACCGTATTTTTCCAAGGTCGAGTTATGCAAGCACTGCAGTTCTAGGGAATTTGAGATGATTAGCTCATTATGTACCTAATGTAAAGTTCTAAGGCATTTTAAGTTTAATATACGGGTTTGTCTTACATACCGGGTCTACTAATCAACAATAGCAATGAATTTCGAAACTTTCGTCAGCACTACACATTTGTTTATCAGAAACGGTTCCACTATCCATTTTGTTATAGTTGTAATAATAATTGCTTTGCTTCCTTATTTTCAGGATGACACTATTATCCTGTGTAGATAGAGCAATCAATCCAGAAGCATACATGAATGAGACGGTTTATGATTTAGATCAACCATATAAATGCCCAAACTATGGCTGTCATCTGTCACTTTGTCTTACAATATCGCACGCTATTCTGTTCCATTCTCAAATCAATTGAGTTTACTGATATAGGCAATTATTTTCCAGTGCCTTATACTAGATTTAGTAGATTACTTAAATCTAAATATTAAGATCGCCATGTGAACAGGATCGAGAGATCGTGTTCCTGACGGCACGAGTTCATCCTGGTGAGAGTAACGCATCCTGGGTGATGGATGGGACCCTGGGCTGCTTGCTCGGTCCTTCCATTGCTGCTGCAGCTCTTCGAGCAAAGTACGTGTTCAAGATTGTGCCCATGCTCAATGTGGAAGGAGTCGTCAATGGATGGTGAGTTATTTTATTTTTGACCATAAAAAATATGTAGTCCTTTTTAATTTAACATTTGAGCTGTAAGGGGATTTTGGTGTGTACTGGTGTGTACTGTAGATAAAAGGTTATGTTGTACATAAATTAAACATCTGTCTCTTATTAAGTATTAACTTTATTAACTTCGCTACATCACTATTCTTTAAATTCTTGAGTTTCAACTTAATATACTTAACTAGGTACGTCACGTATATAAACACTATCTTAAACCACTATGTATTTCAAATGATATGTCCAGACAATCAATATTCACTTAATTTTCTTACATTAAATTAATACATTTTACGGTTTATCATCAAAAATAACGGAGATCTGATGCTTCTACGTTATTAACCTTAGTAAAGTGTAGGTACCTATACGTGGAATACTCATTTTGTGATATTCAACACTACGAAGACGGAGGCAAGTCGCACGCAGGCGAGTCGCCAGCACCTTCAACCTAGTTTAATAAATCATATTGCCCCATAATATACCTTCGAAATCCCCATAATCATTCATGTATAAGCTGGAAAATGTTACGATACTAGAAATCTCATTTACATTACGTGATATCAATACAACAAGGCGTACAGTACACCCTCAACACGCAAGCATCTAAAGTAAAACATCTTAACATACGTATAAATGCCTCAAATTATTGAAATAATACTTTTGGTAGACTCATTACCTAATTGTCACGAAAAAATAAATGTGGACCGCTTAGCCGGACACTAGTAGGCGGGGGGTGCCAGCATGCCGCTGGCGTGGACGGAGTGCTCGGTCGCGTCCGGCTCGGCGGTGGACGGAGCGTCGTCGACCGGCGCGTGCGCCTCGTGGCTCAGATACGCGGCCGGGTCGTCACCAGCCATGCCCTCGTCGTCGTCGTACGGGCCCTGCGTTACGTCCTCCTTCTGTTCCTGATCATGATCGTGGTCAAGTGCATGTGCGTCGGACGCACGCGAGTAGTGAGAATCAATCTGAGGAGACGACGGCAGAATGCCAAGCTTCTTAATGTGCGGCGACTGCAGGCCGTCGAGAGAGGTGGGTCGCAGTTTGCCGATGAGGTCGTTGAGGGTGAAGTGTGTCGGCAGGTGTTCGGAGCGCGGCGGCGGCGGCGACGACGACGTCAGAGGGTGGGCGGTCGTCGTCGTCGTCATCGACAGCGGCTTCCTACCGGCAGAACATACCGACCCTCGTGTTAGAGAGCCGCTTGTAAAATGCAAATTGGCTATTACTTACAATAACTAGGAAGTTATCGATCAGTGAGAATTTGTTAAGTTTGCTAAATTGTGCTCAATCATTATATGTACGGCCAATTATGTTATTGGTATTAGTATATTTTATAACAATATTAAGTATGTTAATTACAATATGCTATTCAACAAATAAAAGTATCACTTAAACAAGAGATACCAAGCAAAGCCCCCTTCACCCACCCACCAAAAGATTTTGTGAATTTTGAAAGTGTGTTAACGTGACAATCAAAAATAATATTGTGATAGTTAAAGACGAAAACGTCATAGATGCCAAATGTTGACTGCTGGGTGTAGGGCTCTTGTTTGGTGGTTGGGTTGGCGCAGAGGCCTGATCCCGCGGCCCGCGCGCTACGAACAAACATCGAAGTGGAACCAAGGTTTAAACTTGGACCAAAATGTTAGCACACTGACTACATCGCAAACTAGAGTCACAAATGTTATTGAAGTTAATCATGTCGTCATTTGGACACGTTGAATACCATTTGATGAAATTCGTGATCTCGAAACTCGGGACCTGTGTATAGAAGCCGCTAATCACGTGAGAGGGGGAGCGCGCGGCTAGTCGGGGAGCGGGCCTCCGGAGACGGCTGGCATCTCACCTGGCATTACCCCTGCGCGGAAGACACGGGGATGGAGCCGTAGTTGTAGTAGTAGCAGCGCGTCTGTTCGCAGATGAAGTCCTTGATCTCGCCGCAGTGCTGTGGTTCCCAGTGGAAAGTAGGCGCCTTTAGGGACACGCAGCCGTTCGTCATCACGTGCTCCGTTCTGGAATACCGACTAGTTTTTATGCAATATTGCATTGTAGAACCGGTACAGGGAATTTAAAAAGCATTGCCCTTTAATGCTGTGTTATTTATAAACGAGTTAGCGTTCCCAGTAGAGCGTATCGTGGGAAAAGCGCGTAACCGTCAATTTTCAAGAAAACTTTTATTAAATTGTCGACTTCCGATCATGGGAACCTATAGCCTTCTTGAAATCAGAACGTATGGTAATGTAAAATAGAAATGTCATGTTAATTAGTGACGTTACTGATACCTCTTTGTTCATTACTCTTTACTATGGAAAACAACGTACCCGTGTCTAGCGGTGCGTTGGGGCGCGGTGCTGCCCTGTGGTACATCGAGGGGGTCAATGCTGTCGTCCGTGTGCTGGCTGGGCGCGTCCATTGGCAACCGTCGCATGTAGTTGAAAGTCGCGTTAAACGGCAGTCCTGTGCTCATCCATAGATACATATCCGTACCTAAATTGTTGCCTGATGTCCAAAAGTCGTATTTATTGTACCCTAGAAATGAAATACATTTTAATAAATTCTCAGTCAAACGAAACTAGGACAAAACATATAAAGTTCAACCTAAATAAGGCCGCTTACCAGCATTCGTCAGGTATGTTGTTATGGAGTCAGCCTTTTCCTTTGTTTCAAAAGATGCAAGCTGCAAGCCTAATGATCTGCAATAACATAAATATTTACATTTAATGTCAAGTTTAAATTCTTTACCATGAGAGATAACAAAGAACTTCAATTTGACAAGATGAAACCTAAAAAGTACCTATAGTGACTCTGAAGTTCAAACCAAAAGAAATACATGTTTAATTAAGCGCCAAAAACAAGAGTTATTATTTGTTTATGCTAAAAATGAATGAGATTGCGTGATACATTTTAGGATGTACAGTTACACCATTCCTGCTTTATGCTGGTAAACTCAAGACATCTTAATAAACAGTAAACATCACACAATTGATTACATCCACAACCGATCATCAAGTATATCTGACTTTAATTTGTTCCGCGAAAGACGTGACTTTATGGCAACGCTATTAACATGTGCTAACCATAAATACTATTCCGTTAAATAACTATCGAGGAGAATACTATCGTTGCTGCTAATCGTATTCAGCTATTAGCCCGAACAGAATACAAGTTACCAAAGCCTGTTTATCGAGATGCAATTTATTCGCTAAAGACAAGCCGTTCAGGCCACGGCCTTGCCACGATGGGACCACATTCCAAGTTAAGTTCAGAAAACTCTGAGAGATTAAAAACCTCTACGACATCATGCTACTGTAGGGTAAAAGCTCTATTAAATGTCCACTGTACGACGGTAGTGATATTCCAAGTATTTTTTAATTGTTAACAATCCGAATGCAGTTTTAATTTCTTTTGGTTGTAAATTAAAAGGAAACACGTAAGTTGCAGCGCGATGAACGTCGTTAATCGCTGTATACTGGAATTTATAGTTTATTAGAGGAAATTGTGGTAACTGATTGCAATAATTGTGCACTAAGACACACGGATTTTTACAGTTACAAATATTATCTACGACTTACATCAAAAGGCTGTGGGAAAATGTTGAAGCCGTAACAGTTACTCAAATAAGTAAAATAATTCAAGTACACTATATACCATCAATGAAACATCACAACGTCTCCCAAAAAACGATCTGCCATTCAAAAGCAAAACACGTTTCAAGTCATAGCTTTTTATTAAGTACTCGAATTTAAACGTCATAAATTATACTGTGCTTGAATTTATCATGAACTTACTGCTAAATATTTGCCCAAGTCCATTAAGCACCTTCAGCATACTTTAGTGCCATATTTCTTTTTGCCCCATCTCGTTTCGGATCTCAAGGGAACCAGTTTTAAAATTGGTCATTTATAAATAAATTTTATTTTTATCCTTAACTGTGCTCGTGCTCTATTTTAATACCATTCGACTTTGAAATTTCTGAATTTTCATGTTTTCTATACTTTTTATCTAAACTTTTTATTGCAGTTGTGTTCTCACTAATAACTTCGCATTTTATTTTTGTGCTGTCATTTATTTAGATGGTGCAACAAAAAATCGGCGACAATCACGCGTCTTCGTCATATCAGTACCGTTAGTATCTTTTTGTCATCGCTATCAAAGCGAACCGTAACACGGCTCGGAGCAGTTTGTAAATTATCCACGGGTCCGGTGTTATTGCGACCGAGACGCATCACCATAAAACTTGTCGTCACGCAGCACCTGCTCCTGAACTGCATCTCGTCACGCCTGTCACGCTGCGAATTCGAAGTCATATTTTACAACGAGTTTCCCGTGACCTTAATCGATTTACCAGTTTCATTATTTTCCTTATAGATTCCGTTTATTTGGCGATACGGATATTATGGGTCGAGCTTCACCATCATTAACAATTGAAACCGTAAATAGGTCGTGACAGCAACGCGTTGGAAGGACATCGTGACCGAACTACGAGGCTACTGACCTCTCGAGCAATTTGAGAATGCACGTGGTGGGATCTAGATCGCGGTATATGGCACCTCTCTAGTGGCGCTCGCGGCATAATACCATTTTCAAACAAATGGAATCATTTTCTCATATAGGAAATCGTTATTTCATAGAAGTGGTGTAACGGGACCAGCAGGCTAATAATTTATCAAAGTTCAGAGGAAATAGATTCTAAAGACGTGCTCGCTTTCGAAATGTATTGATGGAGCGCTCGGGTGAACTTTGTTACTTCGTAGACATGACGCGTTATTTTGCTGGAATTTAATACATTGGTAGGTAATGATCACGAACAAAATAATAAAAGAAGTCGATAGGGTAATTAATTTTTAGAAAGTAGATAGAAGAAAGGTATTCTGTAAGTGTTACCACCAAAATTACCTATTTATTGTATTTCGCATTGAAACCTATTTGAATGACACCAATATTGTTCTCAATGTCCTTTGGACTTTATAACGGTAATGTAAATGACCCTGCACTTCCTAGTGGTTAAAGCATCGAACCTAGGCGCCTGTTAACACTAGTCCAACCACCATGCTATAAGTATTTGAACCAGAAGAACACGACGCACAAGATAAGAACATACAGAGTCACGATTAAGGAATATTTATCTCACGAGAAAACGCCTAGGGAGATGCAAATCTTGAACTGGACTCCGACTATGGTATAATATGAAAGATTGCAACATACCTGCAGTATTGATAAGCGAGGAAATAGTTGAGTTCCGGGCTGTATGGGTTCATCCTTGAGATAAAGTACTGTACGCCATCCAGCTGTATAGTTGTTATCCTTTGAGCTGAAACAACAGGAAAGACAATCTCATTAAACAATGACAAGTAAAAATAAAGAAGACTAGGAGTAGAAAAAATACTAAGTAAGAAATTACATTTCAAATACAACGAGAAGTAAATCGTCTGCGTCCAAATCCTTTCTCAGTTCTCTTAGTATCCAGTTCTGAGTAAGATAAGTGACAATGGATCTGACACAAAATGAATATAGCTGGAATAATGGCGCTCCCCTCATTCTGTTCATTCATTGCTTTAATGCGACGGTTATGAGACGCCCGCGCATCTCGGCTGCATTACCGCGCGATTTACATCGCACGTCACACGCCTTGGCATTGACACTATACCCAACCAGATTATTATAAGAGCATTTCTTAAGGTTCGTTAAAGCGATGCTATTTTATCCCTTATTGAGTATAGAATCACTTGACGTGGTCATGTCTGGAACTATATTGTTCAGTAATGTATTCCCACACCTCTTTTAACCACTTAATATGTTCGTCGCGATGTCTGTACTTCTTTGTTATAAAGTTCGCAGTTTTGCACGTCATTTTCGTACTACGATTGCAGTATAATGCAGAGACGTGCATCACATACAAGATAAAGTGTTTTGCGGTCGGACCCCCGCTGCGCTCCACCGCCATAATTAATTCAATGTCCACTTCTTGCGGTTGACCGCAAAATTTTATTACTTCCTAATTTGGTTTGATATTGAACACTTCGTGTCTATGTCTTAATTAGTTTCAGTTCTTTGCTAAATTGTTAATGAATCTGATTTTAAAAGTATCTTATGTTAAAATTATAAAACAATAGAGGAAGAAAGGGCATTGTCTGTTATAACTTCACAAATGTCAAACTATTGATGACCAAACTTTATTGTAGGTAGTGACTGCACCATCAAATCTTATATGAAGTAAACAACAGTTTATTCTATTGTAATGTAATCTAATAATTTTAAAATGAATCTGAAATTAATTCTTAGTGGTCTGGCTGGCGAAGCTTAACTACACGCGCAAAGTGTAGATGCCGGTCAATACTCCACGATAATAGATTAGAACTGCAGTGTCATCCACTCTAAGAAGCATCGACGCGAATCTCACGCTCGACCGAGCACGAAATACTCCGGACTGCATCTTTACAACCACGACCATATTAAACAAGACCACGACTCTGCCTACAAACAAAAACAAGATTTTGTTTTCTTAAGAAAGTAACGACATAGCATTCAGATGGCCCTATATAAGTAAATGTAGGTATATGTAGTTCGTCGTGCCGTATCCCGCGAAGTGCAATTGTGAGTTTATCCTGAACAATCCACAAAGAAAAGGAAGATTAACATGTCCTGGACAACGCACGCTTTATTCAACCATCAGCGTGGTGATTAATAATACTTAATTAAATGTATCCTGTTTTGCATTGCACCAGACACTCTCATCACATCGCTGATTAACATACTAGTTGTACGTAATGATATACCATTAATCGGTCTTAGATTGATAGACGCCTTGTCACTTGTTCTCACGAAGACTCGCGTAGATACGGCCGGATTTATCCAGCAGTTAACCACATTACAAGAGGCGTCTTGACTTTAATGGATGCATTATTTTACATGATAAATATTAAAATCTTCAATCAGAAAATAAATTGACATTTATAAATGCTATTTAAATCCGTTTTAAATGGCACGTAGAATGTAAAATAATCCAACACTGTAATGTAAAAGTACGCGGAAATGTATGCGGACACAAGACCGTAAATATCCTTATTGCTTTCCAACAGTTTATTGAGAAACTCAATGGTATATTGTGTACGTTGTTAAGAAACCTGAGTTCTACAACTCAGCTTTTCTGTTATTAGAGGTCCTGAGTCTGCTATTGGAATCCATGCATAATGTAACCTCATGCATAAACGATGTCGCGCATTACTTGCTTACTTCGCTTTTACTTCTTGTTCAAGCATTTCCTTGATGAATGCCGCATTCTGCAGTCACTGTAATAGCTGCAGCAATTTATCTTTGTTTACTACTTTGTTGCTATTCTTTTCACGGTGGTTTCATAGAACCATTCTGTTCTTTGCAGGTGGTGGTCTGTGTATCTCTACTGCCAATAATACGGTTTATTGTTATGACTTAAGGTATAAAATCTTGACATTGCATTATCGCATTAATAAACCTATTCAATAATTGTGGACGTATGTGATTACAAAGCGATATATGGGTATAAAAGGCGATAGTTAGGGACGTTTAGAAAGTGCTGGCTGACAGCGAGACGAGTGTACACGAGCAACAATGAACGTCGGGGAGGCGGGTCACGTCGCGTGAGTCATGCGCGCGCGCCGCATACTGATGAAGAGCATCGGCACTCCCGTCCCGTACACGTTCCGTCGTTGGTATCACCAAGACGAGGATGGCACTGTTCCATATAGTAACGCGATAGTTTTGTAGGCGTGACAATGCGACCTAACCAGGGCTGTCGTTTGACCATTTCCTTATACCATGTGACGAATGCAATTACTCCATACAAATTATTGACTACTCTAAATTTAGACCTGGATTTTCATTGCAATAATTTATTAGACTTTGTTTCACGTACTTATTCCCTTCGTGACACCCCTAATGTAGGGTGAGTGGACTTGCCTTGCTTGCGCTGCGTGGATATCCGGCGAGCTCATCCACCGGACGTTAACGGGCCGCTGTCCAAAACCTCGTCGCAAATGTCAGGCCGGCGATGCGTCGCGCAATCACAAACTAACATCGCGATTTGTACTTGCCGACTCTACTGATCGCGAATCGCGATAGCTTATTTTTGCGGGCGAATTTTAACACAACTCTCTGAAGATACCGTACGGCTATCACTTAAAGTCATAACAAAGACTGCACCAGCAAGAAAATGTTCCAAAATAAAGGTTATCAATCCGATCTAGATGCCAGTGAATTCTTTGAAAGCATAGCAGTAGATCTGAGAAGGACGAGCTTTGAGATAAATGCATCGTAATAAAAACTTTTTTGGTAACCTGAATATTACTGCAAACTTCAAGAATAAAGAGACACGATCTTGAGGTGATGTAAAATTAGCATCTTAAAGATTACGTGTTTTTCGTAATGAATTCAGAATACGTCTGAATGATATCGCGGATATCGTTACTCAATCACCTATCAGCAATCGGAAGTTAGCAGATGTAAGCGAGTAACCGTCGCGTGCGCGGACGCATACAAAGCGATCCACGCCATATTATTAGTATCTCTCAACGATCCTTATGCTGTTGTCTCATTAAAATTCGTTTACGGGCTATCTTGTGGAAGAATCTCACGTCTCATGTAATAATAACAACTTCCTTCCATTCATTACTACTCGTGTAACACGCTTATAAAAAGTAAGAATCCGTCATCATTTTTATTGATTCAATCATTGGCGATTTGATAATGTATTTTAATGTAATTGATATTGTTCATCTTATTCAAATCAAAGCAAAACACGATATGGGTAATCTTAATTGGCAATTGGCATTTGTGTTAATAACAACAGCAAAAGTCATTATTAAGAAATACTCTCCTAAAAACTTGAATACAAAAGACAGAATAAACCTTTGAAGAAATAATTAATTGCTTTTCTAACAAACAGGCATTTGCAATTCATTAATAAAAAGCTTTATACGCTCGAGCAAGTCCCAGCAGGAGTGTTCTTTATGGGGAATTGATCATTTTTGCGCCCTTCTCTGACACTGCAATTACAATTACTTATGCATTCATGGAATCCCGCAAAATGTCGTATAATTAACATTAGAAAATAGTCATAGTTTTTACGTCAAAGGAAAATTGCACTTCCAACTACCGGACAACTAATTTGAATAAATTAATTTATGGTGTGGTGATTTATTCTTACTTGTATGAATTCATCAAAACACAATCATAAACCTGACGATTTGAATTTTGAACAAGACGTTAATTAGAAAGACAGAATACCTGTTATAATTCTTAGGCAGCAAACTGGAATGAAACCCACAGTAAGTAATTACAGAATTTTCCTTTAAAAGCACAGTTTTCATTCCGTATCTAATATCACTCGATACAGAACTTAAACCAGTTGGAACCGGTTAAAAGACGGTTGCAAATTATGCATTATCAGTGTCTAAAAATAACACCTATTCCCGTCCACGTAGGACGTTGCCACTTTAAAGCAGAAAAGTTCATCATTATTCTAACGGACGGACGTACCCACGGGATATGACTACCTCTTAGTTTTATGGCCACATGTTTATTAAGTTAATGAATTAATTGGATAAAAACATGCCAGGTATAATAATATGTATGCATCCTTTATGCAATTCTACTAGTACGGGAGTCCTACCTACACCTTGGTTATAGTACCTAATATCTAAGGTGTAACTAGGACTGGCGTCAACTAAAATAAGTCCAGGATCCCCTGATATTTTTATTAGCCCAAATCCCAAATTTTTATAAGACAAAATATTGTCCACATTTTTTTTTAATATTCTGAAAGGATACTACTAATGTGTCTCCAAGAATTTTAATCTCAGGAACATAAAATATCACATTTCATAAGTATAAAACTGAATTTGGGTAGAATTATAAAGACATTTGAATAGTTTAATAGCTTCCATCCCCCAAACGGATCAGGTACACGACTGTATATTCCGAGTAACGTAAAATATCATGTTACCTTAAAAATTTTACGACATCGTAAACTTTCGTATTAAGTAAACAAGCGTGAAGCTTACGTTATTATCAAGCCGTTTACGAGGTAGGTTAAAAAAGTAGCGAATATTAAAGTTTCCGAAAAAAGTTCATCTCAAAGGTAGGTCTTCTATCACTTAAACGTCGATTAAAAGCTGTGTAATCGTGTAACCGCAAACCGTTGGCGCCGGCGGCGGCAGTGCAGCGGCGGCGCGCGGCTCAATGCGTGCGTGTGCGCAATGCAATGCATTACATAACGCGAACCAGTTGGCGGATCGAGCGCAACCACCCGGCCCTCGCGGCGCACGCTCCATCTACTCCATGCATTACACGACGTATATTTCACGGCCGTGCCAAGTTCAATGTTAAATATTATACCTTTATCGGATATTGTAAAGTCCGTCTTCGATTAGATAAACTCTAAAACATTTACATCGTGATAGACTACATCTCAGCATAGATTAAACAATACTCGTTATGTCGTTGAACTCTAGACAGAAAATTGGTTTACGTCAATCCTCATAATCAATTTCTGAGTATTGATCATCTGAACACCTGAAGCCACAAAGTAGTTATCAAATTACAGATTCTAAATTAATGTTTAGTAAAAACAGCAATTTTGGTGTCTATCAAAATTATTTGATTGGTGTTGTGCGTGGGAACATCGATCGGGTTGTTCGTGGTCGGATAACGATCGGAAGGCAAAAAAGGGATCGAGATAATGGCGAACGATGCGCAAGAGACGAGCCCAAGGACGGCGCGCGCGACTCCTCTCTCGCGCCCGCTTCGGAATGCACCTACCAGACTATTTTTAGTAATCAAACCCGATGCCGACCCGGTCCTGGTCCCGGCGGCCAGCCAACGAGACAAACAAATGTCCGCTAACACTAGTGATCCCACTGAAATTATATTGCTAACGAGCCTTCAGCTATCCCGCAATTACAAAAACATTGGACAAAACAAAAACCGTCAATGTAGCAAGAAATCGTATCGACATCGGCAGCTAGTTTTTTGCTGAAACGTTGGGTGACTAAACCTCTAAATTACTTTTTCTTTGAGTTACCAAAGCTCACGTCCGATAAGTAATTTGATATAATCGTACCACCTGGCGTTGTGGCCGCATTACATTTGAATTATAGTGACAAAAAATATTAAAGGTACAGGATCACAACAGAGTATCGCTTGTCCTTTCGGCACCCGACTTGTGAGGATTAACCCTAATTCACTAAAAGTATGATTTATTTACCACCCGCACTGAATGTGACAAGTTTATGTAAATCAGTTATAATATTATTAAATACTTCCAAAGTATTTTGATTTTACCCTAACGAACTGTTCCCCAGAAATGTTAATTATGACAATAATTCCGCATGTTTATACAAAAGACAATGGCCTACTTAAAGGCAGTCCCAAAGACTAAACCACAAACATAATTATAATAATACAGGGCTTTGTCAATCAGTTTATTAGAATAATACCTCTACATACCTATCCCTGATAAATTCTTCTAAACAAAAAGCCTAATATTGTTTTATTACTACGCATCATAGAACTGTGAATGAGCAACATAATTATTATTATCAAGTAAGGGTAATAAATTGTAAATAGATTAGTTACGGTGGTCATAAAAATATTTGGTAACAGGTACGCATATCTGTAACAATCATTGGATTCGATACAGACAATAATGCTAGTCATCGATACAGATTAAGAAAATGTATGTGTCGGACGGTGCTGGCGACTATCTGTGTATAATCTGGAGTCATTTACGGTACCGGTGCGGGCACTGCAAGTACTAGGGGAGGCGGGCTCGCGGCGCACCATAATATTATTCTATGGAACTGCAGCGCTAGATGTCCTGGCCACGCGGCGGCTAGGCGAGGGCCGATGAACCCCGCACCTGTCGCCGCTCCCTCCGCATCCCCGCACTATTTTTTCCCAACACCGACTTCCGTCGAAGACTTTTTGCCGACCTGTCGATAACCTGTCCGATAGCTGCGGACACGCCTCATTAGCGGAATCACTCCCTACAATGTTGATTGGTTTAAATCGACAGCTTTTCTCACAGACTCTCAGCTCGCATAAACATCTTAGATGCGGTAATTCGCTGCATTCCTATAAATGTTTACTACGATGACAAGTCATTGACTTGAGATAAAAAATCCTTCCGAGAATTGCCACTGACAGTGATGTGCCTAGCGCTTTTACGCAAAGCTTAAGATTTTTAATTTTATGATTTGGAAATCTTCTCTAGAGATGTTTCAATTAAACTTAATTTCATATTAATTCTTAGTTAAACGAATAATCATGAGAAAATTATTTTTGCTGGAATGAAATAAACTTCTACATTTATCTATACCTACGTTTAGTTCTTACAATTAAATCTGGTTCCCATAGCGTGCCTTTTCTAATACATTGGGTCGGTACACTTATGACAGGAACATGGTACCCGCGATTGCAGTGTCGCATTGTTCAGGTGGTATGCGTGTGTGCGTACCGTCCCAGGCGCACTTGAGTCAACACGCAAAACACGCCGATGTGCTCCCGGCTTTATGGCTCACCTCAGTGCCGTAAGCTTTGTTGATATTAACCACCAGTTACGACGGATTATACGAATTTTATTGCGTGTAACAAGCTGTAGAACATGAACAATTTGTTTTTAGCATTTTTGGTTCTCATGAGCTGTGATTTCCTTGATGTAGAGCCATTGTTAGCTCTCGCTCTTTTCTGCCGTATTGTTCAAACGATTAAAGTGCCAATAGATTTGAACTTTACGGTAACTACACATCCAAAAATGAAGAGTAAATGGGATATTCTTTAGGAGTAAAATAATATAGAAGTAAGAAGGAGTAATAGTGAGACTAGCTATTGTACTCTAATGAAACTCGAACAATGAAGGTCGAAGACCCGTAGGTCACAGCAACCACCTTGCTGCCACCACGCCATGCTATTGTAGCTCTTACATAAGTTATTACCACTTTGAGTAATTCTATAGCTAGCTACATTTAATTTTCCTATACAAGATTAGTGGAATACATGCAATTTTGATTGACTTCCTGACATTATGTGTACGACGATAAACATTAAACCTTGGTTTTGCTTATTAGGTTCAAAACTATAATTAAAAGCTAAACTCGACACATACATTTATGCAGTCAGACCAACATTAAGCGAATTTGTTATTTAGAACTCGGTTTAGAATAGATACAAACAAACGCTTCAGTGTCGCTCTGCTGAAGCGCGCCACACTCCGCGTACACAAATAACAACACAATTGAAACGTTAAATTAACGACAATTTTGAGGTGACTCCGACACGTTATCATGTCTTGTGCGATGAGTTTTTTTTTTTAGAGGTTCAATTATTTAATATATACTAGGTATTTAACAAAGCTTCATACACTTATTCTAGCACATAGGACATTGTGCCGTGGGCATCATCTACCCATCGAACTTTTGGGGGATGCAAAGAAAAGCAAGCAAGGAATTTTAATTAATTTGAAAAGCTTACAAGAATCACATTATAGCAATTTTTTTCAGTTTATTTGTAAGTTTTCAAAAGATGGTTACTTCTAAATTATAATTTCCTTTTGTACACAAGTCATAAGATCATCTCTGACAGTGATAGGGTAACGTTTGCACTAAATTTAACATTATAAAAATGTATGACATACCAGCAGCGGGACCGAGGGTAGCTGCGAACAGCAAAAAGCAGGTGGCCAAAACGAGCTGCATGTTGATTGAGTCGAACGATATCAGCGGGGAAGCGATCTGAGCACACTCAGGAGTGCACACGCGCTACACGGGACACTCGGGGCACACTGAACGCGCGCTGCCCGGGACCCCCCCTTATAACACAGACGCGTCCCGCGCGCACCACCGCATGGGACCGCTATTGCGACCGCAACCTCTAGTCACGTATCCAATACATCTTCGCCTACAAGACACTCCAGCTGGGACATAACAATCCAGCAATGTAGCAGACCCGTCGATTGGATAAACGCGGGCGGTGGTGCTGTGTCGTCAGCCACGGACGTCCGGCGGCAGGCGGACGCTCGGCTCGCCGGCGCCCGCGCGCCTCGACACGGGAGTTATCTCGGCAAATCGTACCGCACAATAGTTCGCGCTCAATTTGTTCTTGTTGCGGTCGACGCGAATTCTTCGCTTGTCCAAAGGGTTGTCGACGTTGTCGTAGTTTTTATTCTGCTCACGACCTGAAGGCGGAGCCTTTAAGGGAGTGCCTTTGTTATATCTTCCCTCGAGGATCGACCACACGGAATCAGCCTACAACTATAGAAACTATTCTGCACCAGAAATCCAAAAACAAATGAACAATAAGGTGAACGTCTAAAGTGGTGCGACTCCTCCAGAGGTACTCACACAGTTCTTTCAAGAATGGTCAAATATTCAAAATTATTCCTCTAATAAAATTTATCTGGCGTTGGAAAAATAGGCCCTTAAATTAAGTAGCTTGGGTCTCGTATGATACAAACATTTTTTTTCTATTCATATTATAAACATTAAAGAACTTAACGCTGTTCATGCAAATATAATGCACAACTTGGAGGCGAAGGTATTCCCATAAATGCAGTGCACTGTTAAAAGATATTAATTAAGTGTTTATTTGACTTGCGGTGGACACAAACAAACCCACGGCGAGTTCAATATTAGATCTTTGCTGAAATAAAAGCAAATGAGGGAGACGCGGGGCACTTGAAAGCCGCCGCCGCAGCTTCACCACTTTAAACATGTTGCTTTGAAAGCCACGTTAATTGGTGGGACGCTATTTGCTTTGCACGCCATGCGGCCCTCCCAGCTTTGACATTGCCATACCATACAAATACTATTCCTATGTGCACGTATTACACTACATACAATAAGCACACATAACATAACATCACGCCTTTTATCCCCGAAGGGGTAGGCAGAGGTGCACATAGAAGTAACACCCACTTTTCACTATTTATGTTATGAGTCCCATGTAATAGGGGGTGAGCCTATTGCCATATACCGGGCACATTTCCAGACTCCGTGCTACTACTGAAATTTTTAAAAAACCCCAGTAATACTTTGCCCGACCCGGGAATCGAACCCGAGACCCCTTGCCCGGCAGTCGCAATTGCGACCACTCGGCCAATGAGGCAGTACAATAAGCATTCCCAACATTTACTCGTATAATAAAAATCTAGGCCAAAAAAAACGTTAACATTTAAATATTCATCTCATACAAGACACAGCACTTAAATGATCCCGCAAAGAATTGCCCTAGAGCCTACAGCTTGCAGAATCACTTTTGAAATTTCTTTTTTATCGCATTCAACCGATACCTATCAGTATTGTTTTACATCCGATGAATTACATTCGAGAGCGATTCCAGTCGATAAAATAAAATTCACGGTTTTATTTTCATAAAAAAATATGAAGGTATTACTTTAATAGCTGCAATATGAAAAAAAAAATTGAAGATTCGAGCGATACAATGTTTTTTGATCCGAAGATGTTACTTCGCTTCGGGGAGTATTTAATTGAACGGGAGCATGACTCCGATGTTTTGAATAATGGTAGTAATAGACCGCACATGCCGCTCAAACAAAACTATTTATGCGCCATTCACAATGCGCGATCTCCGAGCGCTGCCCCAGCCAGCGACACGACATTAATTAATATCATTAGTATCAATCTTGAACCAAATTTTATTTTCGTTTCCTTCTCTTGTAGAATCCTGTCTAAAGATATAAAACAATAGTAACAACATCCTATAGTTTTGAACTGTCGGAATAATAGAAGAAACCGTTGTTAGAAATTGTAATCTATCTGTAATATTGTAAAGACCAATAACGTGCGAGTGTCGCCGGTCCTCAATCATAGCATCCGTCAACGTTGTGATTATTCTAATGTTTTCGAGTTGCGTGCGATGACTGCGCCTAAGGTGGTCGTTGCCGACTACTCTGATTACCACGATTACGATAAAAATGCGCCCGCTATCGTTTAAATGCCCCGTTTTAAAAATAACCGCGAAGGTAATAGTGAACCGCAATAGCAATGAACACTAAAAATAAAATATTACGTAGACGGTCCCCTTAGCCTGACGTCCCTGAATAACATTGGGAATATTGCCCGATCATTATGCTGGGTGCACGTCGCTAGTGGTCCAGCATTTACATAGAGCCTACTATTAAATTATCCATTACGATCTGAATCTTCACATATAAAGTTTAGTGTTCTTGATGACTCATGCACGAATGTACTTACACTACATACCTGAGTCAGCTAAACTTGATAGTTTATTTTGGAGTGTAGCAACTCCCCTCTGTAAGGCATCTAACACTGCGAACTATATCATGGCAGTCGCAGTCGTTGCATCCAGCCCACGTCGCCGTGCTATTTTATACGTAGCTATAAACTTTGTCGTGTTCGGTAAGAGCAAAACGTTCGATATTATTTGAAAATGTTTTACGGCACGTAAACTTCTTTTAAGGACCCATGTCTTGACTAACTTTAAATAGGTACTTATTCGGTAGCCGTACTGAATTCTTTTCTAGACATTTACGAGCAGACACCTTTGCGACTTAATAACTTTTTCATCGGTCTTTGCGATAATATTCCTATAAGTTAATAATTTATGAGTCTGAGTCAGTAAGTATAATAGTAGTCAACCTCTTTTGAAATTGTGTTTGAAAAACATTTTTAATAGCAAGCAGCTTCTCTTTACTGTCGATTTTTATAAAGTTAGATATTCAGTTATTGCGTTTAGTTGAAATTTTTTCTAGTGAACTTAAAGACACGAATAAAAAGTATGAAGTTATTATAACAAGAGATAATTTAGAACAATGAACTACCCCAAAAAACGCAGTATAACGTATACTCGGAACACCCTTAGGGGCATCATTTGCAATGCTGCTAAAAGCGATTATCCACATTAGACTGGCTTGTCCCAATCATGATTTTATATAGTCTTGTGGTAGTCCACACTAACCAAAACCTAGCGATAATAATAAATAAAGTTGTGGTCGCAATTTTCTAATAATTTCCATGAATGCAAAGGCCGAACGAAAGTAATACAATAAAAACACATAATCCGTTCCAATAAATATAAAACTAAGTCTAAAAGAAATAAATTGTGGTTACTATCCTTATAAAATATTCTTGAAAGTTCTCCTTTTTCACGGGCACAATTAAGCCTTTATTCTCGGTGACTGCGGACCGTAGACCTATTATGTATTTTAATCCGTACGCAAGTATTTTTTCTGACCCCTAGGGGATCTAAAAATAAATGCATCGCGTGGCTAGCTCGGAACAAAAGACAAAAAGAAGGACATGAGAGATCGCACCTCTAGTGCTGTACCGTGTACAAGTGAATCCGTAACTAAATTGCATGATTGGCGCGGTTCGCTACTTATTTGCACAATTTCCATTACTTAATCAAATTATTACCTGCTCGCCGGTCGTTCCGCGGCCTGCTCGCAGTTTTTCTTATTTCCCGTGGGATTCTCGGGGTTTTCTAACGATTTAGTTCTATAGGAAATTAGCTTTTAAAATGCGCGATCCCATGCTTAATTTTATTTATCAAATTCTACAAGATTTTTTTATTATATCCAAGGATTATTTGCTTTACGTCGTTCATGTGAACAATGTTTGGTTTCTAATTAAAGCAAAATATTGGTGTTTTGGATTTTATCAATAGGGGCACCAGTTAGGCGATACGAGTATCTTTCAAAACATCCTTCAATGTAAGAGGTATAATTCGTTGTCGTAGTTAGCATTTACCTAAAGCCCCAAAATAGCGCAAATAACGATTACTCACACGAATCACGTCAGTCCAAAAGACCTAAAATCTAATAACGAACCTTATATTTGACGCAAACCAGACATCTCTGGAGACGACAGATTAAAAGAATTGTCACAAAGTAAATGGGAATAAGGAAGAAGCATTAATCAACTTCATCGCTATTTCTACAGAAAACCTACCAATATTATACTTTATAGATAGTATGTACTAAAAGCCTATTGCAGTATACATAACCAAGGACTATAGTCTGAACTTTGCCCGTGAAAACAAAAAAAGTGCATTTAAGACCCCATATATAGGAAGTCACGATGAAATCTGTGTCATCTGATTCTTTCCCACGATCGTGAAATTGTTTAAAGTTTAACGACTAACAGTTACTCTAGCTTAGACCCTAATGACATTTTGGTCATTACAAAATCATTTATGGTGTGCAAAAAATACGGAAGTCATTTATAGTACCTCTACTTATGTTTAGGTTTACCTGTAGCAAATTGTCAAAAACTTTTAGCGTCCGGAGTATTGAAGCTCTCAAAAAATTAAACAATTCAGTGACATAAACATTTATTTTTGAGATCTTTTTATTTTTCAATTTGCAAAAGACTTAAATTATGTAAAAGCATATTTAAATTCGACGTGGAGGGCTAAGGGGAGGCCTTTGTCCAGCAGTGGACGTCTTCCGGCTGTTGATGATGATATTTAAATTATAAAAGCATGTCTAAACTTGATAATATTAATATTATATTAAAATTATCAAGAAGAGTGTAGAGTGCTTTAAAATATCTAAATTGTCACCGTTAATAACACTTTACTCCCACCTTACACATCTTATGAGCAATATAAATATAGATCATGGCAATAGATCTTACTTATTCTGCGCATGCCTGAAGAGCTCCCTACACATATAACACAATACAAGTTTTTTCCGAGGTAAGCAGCGCTGTTGATT